AAATTATTCGCTCTCTTGCAAGGATTCCAGCAATGCAAATTATATTCTCCTAACTTTAATCTGAGATACTATATAAGATAAAAACTGTAGGCCTAAAACCCTGGCTGGGGAAGAGAGAGAGGGAAGGAGGGAGGGAGTGAGCAGGAGTGACAGTGACATGTTTGACAGTTAGCACCGAATCTCTAGTGAAGTATTTATATGCTTATTTATGTCATTTAGACTGAGTTTTTGTTTTTCATTATAAAATGTCATAGAAGTGACCGGGGAGAATATAATTTACATTGCTAGAATTCTTATAAGATGGTAAATAATTTGAATGTAAACATGCAATAGTTTGCACTAGTCAAAAATTTTAGTTATCATTTTGTACATTATTTTTATTACATGTACAATACAACTTTGCCGTTAGGACAGTGTATGCATGTAAATGCGTTTCAATAAATGAATAAAGTTACATATATCGAGCCAAAAATAATAGTTGAAAAACTTTATGTAGACAGAACTTGGATGGCTAAATTTTAGAATGACCCATAATTTTAATATAAAAAAGGCACAAATATTAAAGAGCACAATTTTCTTGATATTTACTCCACTGGAAACGAATGTAAACATAGAACAGATTACTGAATTGGCAGACTAGCCCATCAGCTGTTCAGCAGATGCTCACAACAAAACGTGTTTGTCGTAAGGATTTCGTTAATTGAAGTTTTGTTCGTTACCCGAATTGAAGGTCCTTATGGGAGGTAATTCGTTAACCAAAATTTTGTTAATCGAACCGTTTGTTAACCGAGGGACCACTGTATATGCAGCAAGCACTCCCTGCAGTCGAGTTGAGAGCTGGATGGTACTGTTACTGCATGGTACTGCACTGTACTGTCTGCTGCCTTGCTTCACTGGCCCTCCCCCTGCTTTTCACTTTCCTCAACAGTGTAATTGCTTGCCTTGATTTCTTGGTCTTTGGGGTAGTTAATGATGTAGTGGCTGGTCTCTCAGACATAGTGGCGATGGTTGATGCGCGTGGTGGAAGGAGATAGTGTCACACAGTACAGTAATCCCGTGTTTTTCTCTCTCTTTTTTTATCACGGTTTTGACCATTCGCTGTTTTTTTGCTAAATATATATATATATATATATATATATATATATATATATATATATATATATATATATATATATATATATATATATATATATATATATATATATATATATATATATATATATATATATCATGTAGATCCCCTGTGAGGTGCACGGCATAGATGCCACCCTTTCCCGCCTCAGACACCCACTGCTCCGAGAAGTCTCAGTCCACACGTGCCTTGTAAATAAATTTTTTTGTATACTGTATAACTGTGTTTACGTTTTTCCATTATTATACTGTGATCCCTCGGTTAACGAACGCCTCGGTTAACGAAATTTCGGTTAACGAATTACCTTCCATAAAAATCTTCAATTCGGTTAATGAACAAAAATTCGGTTAACGAAATTTTTAAGAAATCATGTCAACATGTTTTCGCTTGCTCACCAGCTGGAATCTTAGTCCGCCAATACTGTAATCGGTTCTAGGGCTTAAATTCGTTCCCATTTGAATAAATATCAAGAAGGTTGTACTACGTATTCAATAATTTTCCAAGTTTTATATTACAATTTTTAGTAATTTTAACACTTATTTATCATAATTGCAGTACAGGAAACTAGTTTTTGGTGCTCCAATCAGCCAATGGACTCACCCAGCAAGGCGTCAGTTTGTATCTCTGGTCAGTGGAGGTAACATCTTGCTTGTGGCTCTCTTGAACACAAACTATTTTAACGTTTTTACAGTACAATTATTGGTCATTCTGAAATTTGTTTTACATATTGACAATATATAGTGCAGTGCAGTGTTGATTTAAAGAAAATAATCTCGAATTCACCTAGTGAACTTAAAATTTTATGGGTGAAATGATGGCATGAAGCATGGGGTGATTTCTCTTCCACCCCCACTTCCTTCTCTTCTCCCTTCTCCTCCACCCTCATTCTAATTCCCATCATCATCAACCAGGAGCCTTCTACATACACACCTCGAAGTAAGTGTACTTTACTGCATTTATTTTTACTTTGTATGTAATTTTCGGTGAGCTGGAGCTAATTACCCAAAATCCCATTGAAACAATGGTTTCGGTGAACGAACGACCTTCTGGAACGAAATGTGCTCGTTAACCGAGGGACCACTGTACTACAATATGAGTTTCAAATAATGATGTTAGTAAATGCCGATTCAGTGTATCAGTGATCAGTGTGACCACTGGGCCGTGAGTGGAGAGCATGGGGTGGTTAAGTGCATGACCTAACTGAGCTGTTTAGTGGCCACAGGTACAGTGATTCCTAAAAGAGTATTCGCGGTTTGGGCTTTTTGCGGGGGTTTCAGGAACGTAATTCCCGCGAAAAACACGTGATTACTATATGTCCGTTCACTAGAGCATCAGCGTGAGAACTGAGGGTGTGGCAGCCTTGTAGAGTGCCCAGAGAGGCATCTGGTTGGAACCATTACTCGCAAAACTTAAAATAGTGTGTATTTCCAAATGATGCACCAGATTTGATTCGCGTAAAATAGGAAAGATTCGCTTTAAATTGATGTTATCCTTAATTGTGGGTGTTGCTTTAAATCAATAATTTTAAATCAATTCACGTTAAACGACATCCTACTGTACACAAGTAAAATGTACCCCCCCTCCCCACCGGGTCCACAAATGTTATTCACAGATTTGGCGATTCATGGCCATTTTGAGAACCTAACCCCCACAAATTTGGGGAGCCCCCTGTACTCTCGATTTAACAGAATCTGATATAATGAACTCTCAATTTAGCGGAAGAAATTTTTTCTGTTATTTTTCACTCGATATAGTGAACTAGTTTGCTAAATCGAGATTAATTCCGTTAATATGCTTACCTTAAACTAGGGAGTTCGGTGTTTTTTTTTCTATAATTTCAAATTTTTTTCGAATTGATAGCCAGCCACCCTCTTTTGACTTTCTTTCCCACACCACTTCCTTTCTGAGACTTCTGAGAGACTTTCGGCATAATGCCAAGCACAGTAGTTAGTTGACGGAGATGTAGACCGAGAGGTACAGTAGCAGTAAACAACACACATGGTGGCAGCAGAACACAGATTGAGCAGATGTAAACAAACCCCACACACCAAGCAGTGCATTTTGTGTGGAATTTAAAGGAATCGCGCTCGATTTAATGGAAAAGGGTGGCTCAAATTAGTTCGTTGAATCAAGAAAATACTGTACATTGGTACTCTCTGTTCACCATAGAATGGCGACGCTGCCTCCGCCAATTCTCTAGCCACCTCCCCCAAACCACCAACCGCCCAGCCGTCCTCCCGCTCACTCATTAAGCCAGCTAACTTGTGTGTAAGGAAATGTCTATTCCTTTTATGTGTTTGCCCTTAGGACAATTATTTCTTTTACCTTTTTCACAATACAGTATGTATCTTGGTTGGTGTGTGCATGTATATCAGTAAAAATAAATGAAGAAATTTATGTATATTGACCCAAAAATGCGAGTTGAAAAGCAACACCTTGGCCCAGTAGCCTGGTTACAGAGACAAGTCTAACCTCGCTACAATACCGCCAGTGATGTTAACAGATGTAAATGTGAGAAGAAAGTTATCTGTAAATCTTCATATGTATCAGGTATTTGTAGATTGAAAAATAAATGTTGCAGGTATGCTTGTAAGAGTTCAGAAATTGTTACTGCTGAGCTACCATTGAAGAGTTGGGCGTCTGCTGTACAGACGTCAATTGTCTCAGGTTATTGTCATCAGTACAATACAGAGTAGTTATAGTTTGACCTTTTTTATTTACAATATTTAATTTTTAATTAATTAAAAATACTAATAATGTCAAAGTAAGCAATAACATATTTTAATTCTGGAGTTGGATTAGGTAGAATTTAGCCTACTGGAGACAGCAACGGGTGGATTCATTAGCTTGAGGGTGACTGCAACTTCATATATAGGACGGAGGCTGATTTTTTCACCAATTTTCAGGCAAAAAGTGGGTTTTATATGACGTGAAATACTGTATATGTGTGTGAAGCATGTTTAGTGTGAAGGCTAGTTAAGTGTTTATCATAGTATAACTGTTGAAGGGCCACTGCATCTGGGTCGGAGTGTGCTTCATAAACCCTGGCTCAACTGGTCAAGGGGCGGCTAGTAGTATTTACTGTACACTAGTGTAAACGCCTTGGTTAAGGACGTTCAGGTGACTGGCAAGTCGAAGGGAATAATTGAAACCCGCCTTTTGACACATTCAACATTTATTGATGTGGTCAAAACCTGCAGAGGAGATGTTCATAATATTACATGGTGATCCATCTGATACATAATTAGTTAGTCTCGCACAATTTTATTTTAATTACAATTTATTAAACATACTGACATAACTCAAAGTTCATAACTCTATTAATCTTAGCTTCGCTTCATTCTGCATTGTCTTATTACTCCGGGTTAGGCAGAAACGAGCAGGCGTAATTAGTCAACTATATTTCAGTACCGAGGGGTATGTCATCACTTATGCTGTACTTACAAGTGCGGGTCAGTGCAGATCAGTATGGTTTTCCAAGCGACAACAGTACTGCGTAAATTGTCCCAGCGCAAATTTTCGGACAGGATTGTGAGTCGGTGTTCATCAGTGCGAGCAGAAGGCTGGTCTTCACAGCATTGCTAGAGAGGGCGATCTGTCTCATGGCGGGGCGGGCAGCACCGCCACCAGTCGAAGACAGTCCACTCAGCAGAACCAGGACTTGTCTGTAAACACTTATACATCTGGCGAGGTCACAGGTCGAAAGATTTAATGGCATCACACGCCAGCATTGTAGCTGAAGCCAGCGGCAATAACACTAGTATGAATGTACTGTACCTGTGCCTCAGAATACTGTACTGGCCCCTTGGACAATTTACTGTAGGCTTTCCTAGGAGTTGTTTAGATAATTTTTTTTTTCTTTCAACAGCTTTAAAGAAGATCGTGTCGCTGTGCTTGGATTTGATTTAGCAGCTGCTCACTTTTTGGTTCATCGTGGAGGCAAAGTTCGTTTCAAAAATGCAACGATTTGGAATCAGAAAGATGAAAATGAGGAGTATGAACTGTCTCGCCATTATATCCCAAATATCTTTGTAGAAGAGATTGATGCTTCTGGAGTTGATCTCATATATGAAGGACTTGAATCTATGAGTAAGTAAGGAGTTTAGTATGAAATTTGAAAATAAATTGTACAGTACTTGACAATTATTTTTTTCTTCAAAATTTTTTTGTCCTATGGCTTTGCTATAGCACCCCATTTCTGGTGTTTCCTTCTATATATTTACTCAGTGATGCAACTCAATGTTTCTGTTTCATTAATCCCACTTAACCTAGCTCTCTCAATACAGTACTGTACACTGTATCTTTTTTGTAGTTTTATAATTTTTCCTGTATCATTATTTATCTCTTGATGTTTCCCATTTATTGTGTGCTCTTTTGGCTCCACATCTGAAAAAAGAGAATGATTGAATGCAATACATACCTTTCTGTGGCTGCAGAGATGATCTGTGAATCTTATCTATGGACTGTTATTCTATAGCCAGTGAGTCCCCCAACCAATGTGCATGTCCCACAGCAAAGTTCAACTGTTAAAAACAATCTTTTTATGTACTAAAGGATCATAAACCTGCTTAATATCTCTGATTTGAATCTAGAGTTGTCTTCATGACCAGGATGGAATATTCAAACTGTCTACAGGTCGGGTATCTCTTATCTGAAATTCCCAAATCCTAAATGCTCTGATATTCGAAGTTTTTTCTTTATCTTTCTTTTTTCTCGCGATACCCCATTTTAGGGTAATCACACCTTCGTTTGGGTGAAATTTAAGGTAAGCAAAAATTTGGCAATATCTAGGGTAATCAAGGATTTCTTGGGTTTTTATACCGGTACTCATATTTTAGGGTGATTACAGTACCTTGTAGTAGTAAGTAAATGAATGTTAAAGTAATATGACGTTGGACAGACTGGCTGTTTTTTTATTTTGTATAACAATTCTGCCTCTATACAACCTAGGTAAGTCTTCCATTAATGCAAAAAAGTATACACTTTCTTTTACATTACTATGAAGACTGGTATATATGATACTTTTAAAATACAATATAATACAGTACAACGTCGATATAACATGAAATTCGTCCAAGAGAGGTCGCTTTAAACCGAATTCGCCCTAAATCGAAGTGTTGTTTCAATGGAATACCTGTAATTTAGTTTGGTACTTGAGAGAAACAAAATACTAAAAAGACTAAGAGTCTACCCAGATGCACCTCAGCCCATCTCCTAGAATAAACAAAACATTGTTTTTTTGTAGTATTATGTTAAAACAAGCACTCATAAATCAACACAGCTAAAATTATGGGATATGAAATGGTCTGTTTACCAGGGATCAGCTGATGGGAAGATGAGGGTGGGGGGGAGGTGAGGTGATATGTTTGACAGTTGATGCCAAGGTCTAGTGCTTATTTATCTGTCCTTCAGAGTGACTTTTACGTTTTTCTCTTATAAAATGTCACTTAACTGACATGTTCTAATTAATTTTATTGCAAAGGGCTAAAAAAATTTATCTCTTGTGCAAAATATATGACATTTATATTCAAGTTATTTGCTGTTTGCAAAGATTCTAGTAATGCAAATTTTATTCTCCTAACTTTAGTCTGTGATATTATATAAGATAAAAACTGTAAGCCTATAACCATCCAACCCTGGCTGGGAAGATGGGGTAGGGGAGGAAGGTGACAGTGACATGTTTGACAGTTGGGGCTGAAGGTTTAGTGAAGTATTTATTTGTTTATTTATGTCCTTTAGATTGAGTTTTTTTTTTTTGCTTATAAAATGTCATAAAAGTGACCGGGGAGAATATATTTTACATTGCTGGAATTCTTATAAGATAGTGATTAATTTAATTATAAACTTGCTATAGTTTGCATTAGACATACAAATTTTAGTTTTAATTGGGGAACTTATTACAAATGGCTAAAAATTTTATCTTGTGTAAAATACCGTATTTGCCGGCATATAAGATGCACCACCGCATAAGACGCACCTCTATTTTACAAGGATATTTTGTGGATTTTTTTTTTTTTTTAGTTTCGTCATACAATTACTGAAAGTGATTTTAATGTGGTTTTGTACGGGAAAACATATGATTTTGTGCATGTAAATGCAATGTATACTGGAATCAAGTAGTTAATCATATTATTAAAATAAAGCAATAATAATGATATGCATTCCCAAGTGTGACCTTTTCATATCTTTTGTGTGGCTTTTTACCCTCTTTTTCCCCCCAAGACAATACAATTAACAAAGAGTTTTTATTTCTGTGGCAAAATAGTAGTATCCTTATAAATAAATTAATTGTTAACCATAAGTATATTACTATTATACCACAGAAATAAAAACTCTTTGTTTGTTTGTTTGGGGTATGTAACGAGTAGTGATTTTTTTTTCAATTGTATCGGAGTAAAAGTACTAGAAAACCATACTTAAGTAAAAGTGAAAATACAGGTACTAAAAATTTTTAGAACTTTTTAAAAAATAGTTACCCAAAAATGTTACTCAAGTAAATTTATTCGTTACTTTACAATTCTGGTCTTTCCCAAATTCATTCAGGACGGTTCTCCTTATTTATGGCATCAATATTTACAGCAGAGCTCTCGGGTATTTTACTTGCCCTCAAGATTATTTTACCCAACCTCATAGCGATTTTAAAATTTTTAGTGATTCTCTTAGTGCTCTCCAGGCCTTAGCTAGTGTCTCATCGCCCCATCCCTTAATTATAGATATTTTACAGTGGCTGTTTCTCATCCAATGTTGAGGGTGGAAAGTCAGTTTTTGCTGGGTTCTGGCCCATGTGGAGGAGAAGGGGAATGAACGTGCTGATGCTGTGGGGAAAGCAGCTTCTTCTTGCCCTGTGGCACATCATTCCTCTCTACCTGCCTCTGATATGAAGCCAATAATAAGCCTGCCATCCACTTGAGTTGGTAATGCAGGTGCAATGCTGTCGAAGCAAACAAGCTCCGTTACATCTACCCTGCATTGGGTATTTGGGGGATATCAGGGACCGTTATGCCGCTGCGAGATTGCTTTTGCCTGTCTCTGTATTGGCCACACACAGCCGACTCATGGTTTTTAAATGGAAAGGGCGCCCCCTTCCCCATTGTGATGACTGCCTGGTCTCATTGACTGTTCGACACCTCCTGGTGGATTGCCTCAGTCTCGGAGATCTTCATCGTAAGCACTTCTCCTAGTGTTGGGAAGGAGACGGGTCTTACTCTGTCTCTTTGGTGCTTGGGGTAGCATGGAAGCTGACGTCCTCTCCTTCGTGGAAGAAGCCAGTCTTCTACACAAGCTTTGAGCTTTGTCTATTAATGTTTAAATGTTTTGTTTTGTTTTTATGAAAGTTCCATGATATTTGTTACTTATATTTTACCCTTACATTATTTGATTTTGGTCTTTTAAGCCTTTACCCTGTATTTTAATTCGGCGACATATGACCTAAGCTGTTGTGTCGCCAGGGTTGTAACAACCACAATCAATCAATTAAAAGGAATAAACTTTTATTTGTGTGTGAGAGCAAGAGGGAATGCCACGTGTGATGCAGCTAGTGTCTGTGCAAATGGCGGCTGTGTTATACTTTCATCTTGCTTTTTGTTATTAGATTTAGCTGCATATTTTCATAGCGATAGTGAACTGATTTAATGTTTTGGGGTATGCTATTGGGGATTTCTTTGTCAATAGGGAACTGAACCCTATTTTTTCCACATGTTCTTTTATTCACTACGTATATGAAAATTCACCAAACAATTGGTGTTTCAGGAACTTAACCCATTTGTGTAGCAATTAATGCCTGTAATAAAATTATAGTACTGTATAATGAAACTTGTCTTACCTAAAACATATGCTGTATGATGGGATTGCATGACAACAATTAAGTCAAGATTGTCAGGAGGAATTCCACACCACATACCATTCCCAACAGCTGGTATACAGTTAGCTTCACTTATACCTGATACAGTGGCTGACACGTTCTCCGAGATGTGACAATTATGTGTTTGCATACAACGTAGTATATCTCTAGCTGAATGTTTTGAGACAACCTCTTAATAGCTATGAAACTAAGGTGTTATGCATGTAATCCTCCTCTACATCACACTGCTTGGTGAGCTTTCTGGATTTTCTGCACAAAAACTTGCAGAAATGTAAGACATCACTGGCCGTTGCCCTTGTGGACTTCAGGGAGGCCTTTGACCTTGTTGATCACTGCACTGTTATCAACAAGGCTATTGCACTAGGGCTGCCCACCAACCTGGTCTCATGGCTCACTGATTTCTTGAGCGGACGTCGCCAAGCAGTGAGGTATCAGGGCTTGGTCTCTACATTCCAACACCTCACCTACGGTGTTCCCCAGGGGACCAACATGGGACCACTGTGCTTCCTCATCCTGATCAACGACGCTCTATCGGACACTCCTCACAGGTGGAAGTACGTGGATGAATGCACTGTGGGGGTTTCAGTGGACAACACCGCACCAGACTACTCATCGCTCCAAGGCACCCTGGACAGGCTACAGGCATGGACTACGGAGAACAAGGTCACCATCAACCACACCAAAACCGTAGTCATGCACATCAATACCGCCACCACTCCAGTGCAAGCCCCAGCAGTCACAGTGGGTACCCATCCTCTCCAGCTGGTGCAGTCTGTCAAACTCCTGGGTGTAACTATAGACAACAAACTTGACTGGAAGGCCCATGTAAATAACACAGTCAAGGCAGCCTCGTACCGTCTATACATGCTACGAAGACTTAGGTCACTTGGGACACCCACGCCAGAGCTGAGGACCATCTACAACGTCTTTATTCTCCCCAAACTAACGTATGCATCACCAGCCTGGTTGTCTTCTCTCAACTCCACCCAACAACGTCAGCTAGAGAAGGTACAGAAAAGGGCCTGCAGAATCATGCTCGGTGCAGAATACTCCGGCTACATCAACGCTCTCTCCACCCTGGAAATGCCATCCCTCAGTGACCTCCACCACCAAGCACTGGAAAGGTTTGGCCGTGGACTACTGCACCACCCTCGCCATCGCCACCTCCTGCCACCTGCAGCCCCCTACCCAACTCACGCAGTCCGCCACTACAACAAAATTCAGCCCATAAGAGCCCGCACCAATAGATATAAGAATAGCACCATCCCGTCTATTGTTAAAATAATAAACAACTCCTCATTTATGTACTGTACAGCCCTGTAAATGTATTCAATGCATATTACATCATTATGTCTAAATCAAATGTAAGTCTGTATATTTTCAGCCACCGGCTGCAACTCTGTTAATAAACCGTTTATTATTATTATTATTATTAATTTATGAATGTTGCTGTGAATATTTAAGGCAGGAGATTAAATTCCAAGATTTTTCATATCAGTGAATTATCAAATGATATTATATGTGGAATTTAATAGGAATCTATTGAAGATGAAGTGTACTGCACTTACTATGGATATCATTTGGTTATGAAAATTTGTGATAGCTGTTTTGGTATCACATTAATTGTTTTAATTAAGTTCTGGAACTCTTTAAGTGGCTGGGTTTGATGTAAACACTTACAGCTGTTTTCTTGGGTTTATTGTTGAAGCAGCTATATACACAGATGTAATCTGAGAGAAAAAACTCTGAATTCTCTCCAGAGAAGTGTTGTGAATAACGCTTTGAGATAACACTTGAGTTACGTGTCTGACTTCCCTGTTCAAGTGGTAAGAATCTTCTGGCCTCTCTCTGTCTGAGAGAGGCGTGGGAGTGAGTCAGCTGTTTTGATAAATCAGCTGACCTGCACTCGACCTTTGAGATTGTTGCAAGCCAAGTGTTTGTCTCCAACAACAGGTTGACTCACTTGTTGAATAACTTGGTAAATAAGTTGGTGTTATTAATTTGGGTGAATATTTACATAAAACAAAGGTGCTGTTACAAATTTAGGTACAAGTACTGCATATAACAAATTTTACATGAAAGTTTTAGTGACTATCTTAATCTCTTCAGGGAATCTACAGCACCTAAAATGGCTCAGTGTTGCCAACTGTTCAAACATAGATGACTGGTGTATTGACCGGATCTGTTGCCAGTATTCCAATTCTCTTGAGCACCTTGACATCAGTAACTGTCCCAAAGTGACTGAGCGTGGTATAACAGCCTTAGCACGGTTGAGGTAAGTTGTTAATTTTGATTTGCATGGCATCAATTATCTAGTGTGGTAAGGAGATTATGAAGCATTAATACTCCAAGCATGGGCCCAGAGTAGTTAAAAATAAGAACGTGTTTACATCAGGAAGGAGATTTACCGAGTTTCTTATTTAAAAATCACTGCAGTTAAAAGCAAAAAATCTTTGATGACACCCCTTTCAGCAATGGCGCCATCACTAAAGACGCCCACAAACTCTCGTTTACCATCACGTTTCAAAATACCCAGATGTACAGCTAAATGAAAATACTCCTCATAATTTCTTTAGCCTCGGGTGGTACTTACCTCCACCACAGCCAGGCTGGGAAGATTGTGTTGAGGATTTGTTTGGCCCAGGCTAGTGACTTTTGAAATTTACTTGCCCTGACTTTTTTTTTTTTGCTTGCCCTGTTAGTGTTGCTTAGGAAATTTACTAACCTCTATTTTTTCTTTGCCATGAGGGTCTGACACTGACAGTGTTTGTCATTTGTAATTTTTCTAATAGAATTCAACACTAGATAACTCAAGTGACTCGGTGTAATTTGTAAAGGAATATCATAAGTGCATAATTTCATAGCATTGTTTCAAACTTCTTAATATTTTGCAGGTACAGGATATCCCTATTAGCTTGAACATTTGGTGCAGGACCCTAAAAAATTACCCTATCCCCGAATTCTTTACCAGTTACTGGGAGAAGTTTCTGAGTATTTAAACATGACATCTTGCACAGACGGACACTCGCCCACTTCCCAGAACGATTATGGGTGCTGGGATGTTTTCCTTGAGTCTAAAGTACCGGAGTCCGTAAATGCAGCTCTAATTAAATTAGAAACTCCATTTCTATACTATAATAATCCAAAATAGTTTATCGAAAAGTTTGGTGAAATATATTTACTGTATATTAAAAACTAAAAATCTATTTGATACGAGCTTGAATAAAGCTGTGTACAGACTGGTATTTTCCACTCACATGGAGCTGTGGGGGATTAGTGGTTCATTTTGCTGACCTTCTGATGGCATGTCAGGTCACACTTTCTTGGGTGGGGGATTAGTGGGTCTCATTACCTGAAGATGTCTTGAATAAAGACGAAAGCTTAAGTATTTTTAGGGAGAAATCTGAAAAGTATAAGTATAAATAACCAATGATGTATCCCTTCAACATTACATTACATAACATTTTAGAATATAGAGTTAGAAAGCAGAGTGGTGTGGTTAATTAGAGAGATGGGGTGGAAAGAAGTGGTAACATACACCGGTGTTGCCAAGCGCTCCACTACAGCTGATTTTAACTCGCCACCAGGCAGTCACACAACAAAACCCTCACTCTGGATGCTATTTTAATTCCAATGTGTGTGTGTGTGTGTGTGCGTGCATGCGTGTGGCTGCATTATGTTAGTGTTAAGGTGCAAGCACTGCTTATATCCTCTCGCTTTCAGCTACCACTGCTGGCTAGCCCTCGTGGCAAACAGGAAAGCAACTTGCATAAGTCATACCCTGCCAGTACACAGCCCATTCACCAAAGACTCAATGCTGTGGCTCCTTGTGGCAACACACGGTAATTGGGTGCCTCGTGGGCAAGGCTTCCACAAAGCAAAACCTTGAATTCCCCAAACTAACTTGATAATTTCCCAAGAATGAATAATATTTTCCTAAATTTTTTTTTATCTAAATTTAATTATTATTATGCATTATATTATTTTTGTTCAATCCAGATTGCACCATCTAGCTTTATACTATGTAAATGCCTAGCATTAACTCGCCAGGCCACTATACATGCAATTAAAACATCTAATAATTACTTAAATACGTAATATTAGGAGGACATGTTGCTACCTCGCATTTAATTGCAATTCTCAAAACCCCCTACCCCACCCTCCACCACACGCATTGCTACTGTCATCTTCTTGCCTGGTGAATCAGCTGTAAATACGCATAAGGAAAGCTCCGCTAATTTGTGTTGTAATAGCTGAAATACTAAGTGCCACGAGGATTTTATATTTGGTATTTATACATCTTAGCACGTTGAGGAAATCGAGTGACTTTTATTTTGTTTATGTCTCTCAGATATTGTGTTTGGGTAATTTTTTATACAGTCTGGTCAAGCACCATGGTGACCACGACTCATCCTCTATCTAGGAAGACAGTAGATCTTTAGTAACTAATATCCTCTACTTTCAAGTCACTCAGTGAATGACGTTGTTTTTCTCCCTTCCGGGCTCGTCTTCACTGAAAGAATATATATATAGATATATATGTATATATACTGTACTGTATATAAAATTTTTCTTTGTCCCAATTATACACGTGCAAGTCTGAACACCATCCCTCTCCCTCTTCTCATGTTCGTTCACAAAACTTTTCGGGCTTCCGCCCTGGGTTTTCTAATTACTCTCAGCATGCAGGCCAGAGTTAAGTTTTTCTCTTCATAACTCTATTTTATTCATGTCCTCAGTAGCGGGTTCAGCCTTTCCAGGCGAACTTTAGCGAGGCTGCTAGTCTTAGTGATCCTTCCGGACGGTGACCACCGGTCTTACTAGCAATCTAGAGTTATGGTGGGATGAACCTTCAGTATGGGTTATATGAGAACCATTCAGGGTGGAATTCTCAACCCAATACATCTTGCTAGAGTAATGGTGAACGATGTTAACCAATGGAGCGCTATGTAGCAGCTCAGCACTGTCAACCCTTCCGGGTGACTTGATGCTCACTCAGGCATTATCACTCAAGCTAATTAATTGAAGGGATGATGTCTGTGCACCCTGATTGGCAACAAATAGAGAACTTGATGATCCTTCAAAATATAAGTTTTCTAAAATTAAGTTAGCTTGATCAAGAAATAAGTTCATTGAGCTGAGGGATAATTGAGATAAGAAAAGGGAGAGGTGTATGATATAGTGAGTTAGTTGCTTATGATTGTCACACTGGTGACTTATATAACAATAAGAAATATTAATACAATGTGACACATGGTGTTCCTCCTAGTTTAGATGAGTGATGTCCAACTGGAGGATGAAGGACAGTTGTCTGAACTGCTAGATGATGGAGGAGACCATGGAATTGTCCCTGGGGAACTAGTGTTGAGTGAGGAGCTACAAGGACTGGAGAGCTCAGTTCATACACTACATACAAGGAAATGTCCGTCAGTAGTAGTAGTTTCACCCAGGACCCAAGGGGACCATACTACATGTAATTATCAAGGATGTAGAGCCACTTGGATTACCAAGTTAGATCCTTATTTGGCTTGCATAATTCATAGCAGCTGTGTCTCAGACAACTTGTTTTCACCATTGAATTGTGCAGTTTGTTATTGTTCGTGTTCTGGGTAATAAGTTCAATATACAGGAGCGAACACAAACACCTGTATAGATTTTGTAGGTTCGATTTACTGGATAAGAGATATGTACACAAGGGGAGTAGCGCTCTTCAACCTGTCTGCTGGTCAACTGCTCTATAGGCGACGTATGGCAAGTGACACATTAACAGCTTCCATATGTCGCCAGGCACATTAATTAAGCATGTGGGACATGGTAATTACATTGCCACATGCTGCTAGCTAGGCTGAATAAATAATATATATAAATGGAGCACATACATAATATACATACATAATATATAATACAGCATACATAATATACATACATCTCCCTCCCCCCTATACGCTCATAGCAAAGTCTTGAGCGGACCTTTTCTTTTGGATCCGTTCTGAGCGTCGAGGGACTTGATCACTGGGAAGGGTATGGGACTCAACACTGGTGGCGAGGTCAGCAGAAGGCAGCATTGTTGCGGTGGTTCCTCCACCGCCGACCACTGGTAATACTGGTAGTCCCCGTATTTCTGAGAGACCATACTTCTTCTGTCCCAGCGTAGGGAGGTGCGAGGTCCTGAACGAACAGGTGCCGACCTCAACCTGGGGAAGAAGCAGGCGTGATGCGTTGTAGTGGGTAACTGACGTCTTGAACCGTTCGGCGGCGATCACAATCCTCTGTCTTAGCCGCCCTCGCGGGAAGAGTTGAGGGTGAGCAGGGACAGAAAACCGAAGGCGTCCGCCACAAAACCTGGGCAGGCGTCCGGTGTGGTTAGGTGTGTTCGCGAGTTCAAAGACCCTGATCGAAGGCCTGGTATTATATTCCCAGAAGGGGCCACCGCAAGGATGGGCAAGGATTTGACGGCACTCAAGCGTCAACCGTTGGACTCACAGATGGGGCGATGACTTAACCGTGCGGACTCCCCCATGATGAGAACTCAGCAAAGTCGGCTCGCCCAGACACAGGTCCTCCGATGGTTGTGGCGTGCAAGAACGCCCGTCCGGAAATAGTGGCTGGCTTTGCTGATGGTGGCGGCAGAAATGACTGTCATTACCGCCTTGATGACAACGTAACCGGTGCAGCGATAACAAGGAAGAACTTTCTGACTAGAAAAAAAATCATTAAACCCCACAGACTCAAAGGGCCGGGTGGGGTTGTCGTCACTCACTAAGGAGTTCCTGCTGCTGTGGCTGGGTTTGTAGTGCATTGGCGGGGCTCTTTTACACCTGGACATTGGAGATCTTTCGAGGGTTGATGCAGGCTGAACACGAGTCTGTCTTACTGCGCCATTTGTTGTCTCGGCTCCCACAATGACGACTGTCGTGGGCCAGGCAAAGGCGTGGAGATTGTAAACAACAGGACAACTACTGAGGTGTGCACTGGCCAGAAAATAAGTGGGGCAGCAGCAGGGTAGTTTACTGCTCCCTTGGTACACCTGTTGGTATTTTACCTCAAGAATCGGTGTTGGGGAGTCCTGGGAGATGATGACCCAGCTCTTGGCAATGTGTGGGACTGACAAAGAATTGGAACCGTGTACGTCAATCCAGGCGGCATGACCCTGTTGCTTAGGTGACATAGCCGCCAGGCTGGGGCCATCTGTGAACCATCTGCGTGGCGCAGGGGGTCCTTGAAGCGGTCTGGTGTTGGCGGAAGGCTAAGCTTGCAAATGCTGGGACCCGATGA